TTTCTACAACTTACAAGGTATAAGGGAAACTGCCCAATTACGTATGCATAATATCTTTCCCATCCCACCCAACTTAAATGCTATGCAATTGCATTTTTGTTAAAAATAGACACCCCCACCCCACTAACTAACATGCTATGCATGTTGATTTCTGTACAAAATAGACACCCACCCCCTAAAATTTTGTTAAAGAAATAAATAGAGCTGAAAAACAATTTAATACTTTATGTTAAACTTTACTACCTAAAATTAGGTATCAATGTTATGCCCCCCCCTAACCAAAACGCTCCACTAATTATTTTGTCTAAAGTAAGGGAGTTGATCCTAATGCTACGGGTTTGAATCCCACTGTGGGACGTGGACACTTAATTGTCCTTCGAATGAGACCGTGTAAACCAAGGGCCAATGTCGGAATAGATGCTGGTATAAAAAGATTCCTCACTGCTCAATGGCCGTCAGTGCCTATTATAGGAAAAAAATGTGCAACTCTTCGCGGGCAAGCCTTCATATGAGCAAAATATTCATGAGGGACATTAAAGAAGATTACGTTGTACTATCAATCTTTAACATGTTTAACATTTCCCTCTAGAGAATTTATTTTCATGAGATATTGCCATTACTAGTGATGTTCCTGCCGCGAGGGGATGCTCCGCGTAGCGGTTCCCTTGTTAGGTTAGCTTTATTAGGTCAATGCAAGGTGTATTTGCAGGATAAAATTTTTTAAAAGAATTAATTGTATTGCAGTGGGTTAATCAGCTGATCACATATATCTTATTACAGGAAATGACGTAATCTATCAATTAACAAAAGAAAACTCATCATCCCTGTATGTGTCCATCACTCTCCAGATTGTTACAACTCTGTATTTAATATACGACCGATTCTCATTGTCTCCGACGAAGCAGGAAAATATCAACTCTTTCTTACAGGAGCTGCCACGGGGACCTTAGGTGAGTATATTCAGTAAAGTTTCTTAAAATAAGGTTCAAATTACGTTTATTATCATAATGATACTTTTTTTTGTATTGAAATATGTTGAAAAAAGAGAAAAAAAAATTCTGATAGTTTGTATATGTTTTTTTTTATTACACTACAATTAAATATACTAGCGGAAAAAAAGAAACTGTGCAGTATTGTAAACATGAATAGATAATAAAAAGAACAATGACCAAATTTTTATTTCTTGTAATACTATTAACAAATACATTCATAACAACATTTCATAATTCATTAAAGTTAAGGTCAAACAACGTCAGTTTATGAAAACTGGAAAGACACTGGTATTCAAACTTGACTTAACAAAGTCAATAAAGTGTGTGACCACCATTTGCATTGGCGCATGCTTGACAACGGCGCCTTATTGATGACATTAAAGTGTTCAGATATGCTTGGGAGATGTTGTTCCAGACGGTCGTAAAGGCCTGGCCTAAGACAGCCAGAGTCTCTGGCTGATTCAGCGAACGACGTAAGCGTCGTTCAATTTCATCCCAAACGTGCTTGATCGGTGAGAAATCGGGGGAAACTGCTGCTGGCCAAGGCAAGACATCGGCATGCTGTTGAACGAAAACGTCTCTCACTACGCGTGCAAAGTGGGGTCTTGCGTTGTCGTGCTGTAAGGTAATGTGATTTTGCTGTCCCTGTATGAAGGGTATCACATGGCGCTGAAAAATGTCGTCTCGATAGCGCACACCGGAGATATTTCCATTGACGTTTGAAAATGTCGACATCTTCACAAAAAATTGATGTTCAAAGAAGATTATTTGATCGGAAACAACAACAAACAAACACCTCAACGCTTTTCACATTTTACAGTTTGTAATACCTATTTAATGAAAATATTATATTTTAGAACATTTACAGGTATACATCATGTCTTATATTGTTATAATTATGAATGAATTACTCCGTAATACATTTTATACATTTTTAAAGGCGCGGTCTCGGACATATATTAATAAAAGAGTGCTTTAAAAGTGTACCACGCCTGTGGTTTATTGTTACACTAAAAAGGATGCTATGTGGATTGCGCAGTGTTTTGTTAACTTGTATTTTATGTCCCCGGCCCCGCTTTCGCGAAAACGAGGGGACATTAAATCTCATTCGTCTGTCTGTCTGTGAGTCCGTCACAAAAACTTTATCCCTGCCTATAACTTTTGATTTAGTGGAGCTATGACTTTAATACTTCACATGTATATTTCTTGTGATAAGGCGTTTCCAATATGGTACCACCGAATTTGATCTTTGACCTTGACTTTGGAGTTTGACCTACTTTTACACAAAAATTCCAAAAATTTACTTTGGCCATAACTTCTGAACGGTAGATATTAGGACTTTCATATTTCACACATATATTTCTTGTGACTAGTCCTTTTATAAAATATCAACTACTTTGACCTTTGATCTTGACCTTGTAGATTTCCGTACTTATGAAAAAACTTTAACCTTGACCATAACTTTTGAACGGTAAGGGTAGGGCTTTCATACTTTATATATGTAATTCTTGTGAAAAGACCTTTCACTGGATATACGGAACTTTGACCCTTTGACCTTGACCTTGAAATTTGATCTACTTTTCAAAAACTAACTTGGCCACAACTTTTGGACAGTAGATACTAGGACTTTCATATTTCACAGATGTATTCTTTGTTGCAAGACCTTTCATTTGAGATCAACAACCTTGACCTTTTGACCTTGGATATTTTTTGTACTAAGTCTTATGAAAAAACTTTAAGCTTGACCATAACTACTTTTGAATGCTAAGGGCTAGGACTTTCATTTTTCACATATGTATCCTTGTGAGAAGACTTTTGATTTGTTACCAAGAACTTTAACCCTTTGACCTGTAAATGTCATAATTTTTATTTTACTATAATTTTAATGGAGTCTATTTTATTTGCAATATTTTTTGTAAATCAATTTTATGTGTAACAATTTTTGGTAAAAATTCCGGATAGGCAATCTTCTTATATTTGGGTCCGGCTACTATTTGTATATTACGTAATTTCCGCCCAGCATCTTTGTACATCCATTAACGTTAACGCAGAACGATAGTTAAAACGAACTTAGCGACTTGGTCAGGAGAACAAGGTAATTAGCATATGCTTATGTATTCATATGCTCATAGTAACGTTTAAAGTCCCTGATCTCAGAGTTAATGTTTCTGATTTATATATTTATAACGATTACTCTGTATGTAGAGCATTTTTGTACAAGCATGGCTAGGGTGGTTTTATACATGGCGCCATTTTGACCCACGTGTAGTGATATTTTGATTGATAATTATTAGTCCCATTGGCAATTTGTATTTTATATATCATATCAATTTAATGATTAAATAGAACTGATTTATTATGTAAATTATCGGTTGTGAGATTATTTGTTGTGCACATGGAATTTTGTGTGATTTACTTAGAGTTATTGCCCTTTGTACGGTAATGTAAGGCAAGGCGCCAAGTTTGTTTACATGTTTTAAGTGAAGTAGCACAGTTGTATTTCCTGATTGTCACTGGGTAATTAAGAAGTGAATTAAATTAAACGTATAGATATTATTCATATTACATATTACTAGTCAATTAGCTGATATTATTGAATATTGAACTCTAGTCTACATGTGTATGTATACCAAAGGGTCATCTTAGTGCATGTTTGTGTACTTTATGTAATTTTAGATTTTCTTGTTATGTATTAATTATGATAAATTTTGTATTTGTTTTTACAGTTCTTACGTTGATGTTACCATCAATAAAGACATCACCGGTATTATTAGACTTATCCCTTTTTTACCAAGCCACTAATAGTAAGAACTTGACTTCAGTCTCATCAAGATGTCAAAGGTTGATGACAAAACGACCCCGGATGGTACAACGCCTGATGTTACGGATACAGCTAATGGTACAACATCCAACGAAAACTATGATACAACGATGAATAACGAAAACAACGAACCAGTGAATAATGAGACACAACAAACGACAAACAAAGACACTTTATATGTGGGACAGAGGAAGTTTAATGTACATAAACCCACCGACCGAATGTTAGATTACATGGACCAGGAGTCTAAGAGACGTGAAAAGAGGATTCAATTGTGCTTCGATCGATGGAAGTTCAAGGTCAGAGAGTGTAGACAAAATGTGAAAATAGAGTCCAGTGAAGAAGATCTTGGAAACATGTTAGACGAAATATTGAAGCTGGAAAGAGAGGTCATAGAGGCTTTTGAACATTTGCGTAATTCATGTAGTGCACCACACCAAAGTGTAGTTCGGAAAGTGGACGCCTGTGTTGCTATTTCTAAAGACATGACTCATCTCATCAATGAAAAAATCTCAGGATTTGAAGACACCATAGACAGTCGTAAAGGTTTAAAGCATAATGAGTATGCTAGGTCTGTGTTTAGTGACTTAAGTTGGTCTAGTGTCTCGGAGAGTGATTCGATAAAATCACAACTGTCCTCAAAGTTCGTGGATGCCCTCGCAGATGTAGCAACCAAAAGGGTAGAACTGGAGTCGATAAATTAAGGAACAGCAAACAAAGTTTGAAGCACTGCAAGAGCAACAACGAAAACTACTAGAAACTCAGCAGCGGGAAGTGAGAAAATTTCAAGCAGAGAAATCAGTTGCAATGGCAGAAGCAAGACTCAAGGCCTACTCGGATTTGATGCAGGGGGATGTGAACATTGCTGCAGCCGCAAGCAGACGTCAAACTGAACACGACACTTCCTTTAGAAGCCGTCCAACTGACCCCCCGGCTGTTTCGACTATTGTTAGCCACCCTACAATTACACCAGTCGTCACGTCTACTACTCGTCCTATTGTTACACACACTGGGAGGTCTACTTATACTCCGTTCAACCCACCTACTAACAACGCTACAGTCAACTCGAACAGCACCACAAACGATGATTCTACAACAAGTATCTTAGCAAACGGACTCAGTGAACCTTAATAGACTACCTATACCTGAGCCGTCAGTGTTCACAGGAGATCCACTTAGATTCGAGAATGGAAGACGGCCTTTATGCATTGATAGAACGTAAAGGCATTCCTGAAAGAGAGACTATTCTTTTTGAAGAGATACGTGGCCACCAGGCCATAGATGGATTCTTCTACATGGAAGCAGCTCTGCATATGAAAACGAGACAAGTCCTGCAGGAAAGAGGACACCCATTTGTTATAGAAGGGAATTCAAAGGCTCTCAGAGATTTTGTAGACAAAATGTGAGATGCAATCAGGTTCCAAGCCTTAAAAGAAGACTGCTCTGAAAATCAGAAACTATTAAGCAAACTTCCTAATTGGGCTGCACTGCGTTGGAATCGTCAAGTTCAAGAAACTATTGACTCTAGAAGTTTGTGGACTTCGTCGTAAAGGAGGCTCGCATTGCTTGTAATCCAGTCTCGTCAATCTATGCGCTCAAGGACACTGACACTAAACCTGCCAGAGAGCACAACAAGAGGCCCACGGGCCTATAGGTCAAGAGTATTGTGTAACAACTTTCAAACGTTCAGCCATGAAATTCACAATTTACAATTTTGAAAGAGGCACCATTGCTTATCATAATTATTAAAGCATGCTTACTCTATTTACTTAATACCCAGAGGTCATCAATGAAAAAATGCACTTCCACTTTATAACCAGTTTGCACCTCACCCCAAAAGACACCATAGACACCCAGGTTTAAAGCATATTTCAAAATGCAAATTTTATCAGTAAAATGAGTTGATTCATACCAAAAAGCAGATTTCAAAGATTTAAATTTTCAGGCAGTAACCCCCCTTGACCCTGGGGATGCGTTAAAACCCACTTTGCTAGATGCACCTTTCTTCATCATAAATATATATATACTTGGATAATTGGCTTAAAACCCAGAAGCAAAGAAAAATATTTACAAAGAATAAATGTATTTTTACTATATAATCAATAGAGCAACAACGACTTAACACCAGAACCCAGCAGCGGGCCATAAAATTCACAATTTTGGAAGAGAAATCTTGTTCAATAACTAGTGCAAGTCAAGGCCTACTCGGATTACCCAGGAGCAGAGAAGAAGATTTTCAAAGAAATAATGCATTGACTATATAATTAGAGCCCCGCCCTAACACCAGAACCCCAGCCATAAAATTCACAAATCTGGAAAGCAGTTCATCATAACTATGTGCATTCCTAATACCCAGGAGCAGAGAAGAAGATTTTCAAAGAAATAATGCATTTTCACATCTATAGAGCCCTGCCCTAACACCAGAACCCCTGACCCTGGGGCCATAAAATTCACAATTTTGGTAGAGGCACTCTTGCTCATCATAACTATGCACTTAGTTAGTTTATGTAATACCCAGGAGCAGAGAAGAAGATTTTCAAAGAAATAATGCATTTTCACTATATAATCTATAGAGCCCCGCCCTAACACACACTGACCCTGGGGCCATAAAATTCACAAATCTAGAAGAGGCACTCTTCTCATCATAACTATGTGCTTAGTTAGTTTACAACCCAGGACAGAGAAGAAGATTTTCAAAGAAAACATTTTCACTATATAACTATAGATTCTAACAAGAAGACCCTATAAAATTCACAAAAGGTGCTGCTCATCATAACCTTAGTTAGACTATCTAATACCCAGGAGCAGAGAAGAAGATGTTCAAAGGATAATGCATTTTCACTATATTCTATAGAAGCCCCGCCCTAACACAGAACCCCTTCCTGGGGCCATAAAATCACAAATCTGGAAGAGGCACTCTTGCTCATCACAACTATGTGCTTAGTTAGTTTATCTAATACCCAGGAGCAGAGAAGAAGATTTTCAAAGAAATAATGCATTTTCACTATATAATCTATAGAGCCCCGCCCTAACACCAGAACCCCTGACCCTGGGGCCATAAAATTCACAAATCTAGAAGAGGCACTCTTGCTCATCATAACTATGTGCTTAGTTAGTTTATCTAATACCCAGGAGCAGAGAAGAAGATTTTCAAAGAAATAATGCATTTTCTATATAATCTAAGAGCCCCGCCCTATGAAAACCCCTGACCCTGGGGCCATAAAATTCACAAATCCATTTGTTATCATAACTATGTGGAAAGTGTATTTAAAATCAGGAGCAAAGAAGAAGATTTTCAAAGAAATAATGAATTTTCACTATATAGCCTGTCGAGCCCCACCCTAGCAACGCCTGACCCTGGTTCCAAGAATTTACAATTTTGGTAAAGGACTGAAAATGCTTATTACATTCATGCCAATATTCCTGCTTGATGTCCAGGAGTAAAGAAGAAGATTTTTAAACACTTCATTAATTTTAGTGGTTTTGAATATCCATATATGCTGTCCAAATTTGGTGAAATTGGTTCGTGGTTTCAGAGAAGAGGCTGAAAATGTGCAAATGTTAACACAGACACACGACACATCTATGCGACAAGGACACTGACACTAAACCTGCCAGAGAGCACAAAAACTCGAGTCGCAAAGCAAACATCCTCGCAACGAATTCAACTCATCAGCACAATGCAACGGGAACTGACATGAGACTCAACTTATGTGATTATTGTGAGAAAGAAGGACATCCCTTGTTCAAGTGTGAGAAATTTATTAACTTGTCTATTGAGGATAAACGAGTGGTAGTGCGTAAGAAAAACCTGTGCTTTGGATGTCTACGCAAGGGCCACAGAAACAAGGACTGCAAGAAGAAGCATACGTGTGGTATCTGCAAGGGAAAACACCCAACCTGCATGCATGAAGATGAATCACCAACAAGAAAGCAACAATTAGAGGTCAAGGAAGCCAGTTCCTTTCGTGTGAGCAGAGGATATGGTCACAGCACCTCCATGATCGTTCCAGTGTGGCTTTCTGTTCAGGAGAACCCCTCGCACGAGATATTGACATATGCTCTCTTAGACACACAAAGTGACACTACCTTTGTGCTAGACGAAACGGCTGCTGCCTTGCATGTGAATAGACAACCAACGCGTCTCAGCTTGTCTACCATGACCTCACAGCACACTATCATTAACAGTTTCCGTATACAGAACCTGAGAGTGAGAGGGTTCAAGTCTACCGAATTTGTGACAATAGACAATGCATATACGAGAGACTTCATTCCTGCGGATCGCTCACATATACCTGAAAGGAAAACTGTAATGTGCTGGCCACACCTGAAGGAGCTTAGCAACGAACTACCACCTCTTCAGTCATGTGAAGTTGGACTCTTGATTGGATACAATTGTCCTCAAGCTCTTGTACCAAAAAGAACTCTAACAGGAAACGAGAACCAGCCATATGGCATCCAGACACTGCTTGGTTGGAGCGTGGTTGGATACACAGATCACACAGACTCGGACGTTACTGTTGTTTGTCACAGAACTTCAGTGAAGGAGCTGCATAGCTGTACACCCAGGGATGTCATAAAAACTTTGGAGAAAGACTTTGCTCATGACAAGAATGAAGATATAAAGATATCTCAAGATGACATCGCCTTCCTTAACTTCATGAAAGAAAACATACAGCAGCATGAGGATAAGCATTTGGAAATGCCTCTACCATTCAAGGAGCGACCCTCCCTGCCCAACAACAAGTCACTTGCATTGATTCGCTTAGATCATCTGAAACGAAAACTTAAAAGAGACCAGACATATCAAGAACATTACAAGACTTTCATGAGAGAAGTATTGGAAAGAGGCGACGCCGAACCAGTATCGTCAGATGGTGTCAGTGGAAATACATGGTATATCCCACATCATGGTGTTTATCACCCGAAAAAACCTGGAAAGCTTAGAGTAGTTTTTGACTGTTCAGCAAGATTCAAAGAGGCTTCATTAAATGAATATTCTCTCTACTGACTGGTCCGGATTTAACAAATGCTTTGACTGGGGTTCTATGCAGATTCAGACAACACCCTGTGGCTGTCATGTGTGATGTGGAGAAGATGTTCCACCAGTTTGTTGTACATGAAGCAGACCGAGACTTCTTACGATTCCTATGGTGGGAGGATGGAAACTTGGATGCAGAACCCAAGGAATATCGTATGAGAGTACACCTGTTTGGAGCGGCTTCCTCCCCAGGATGTGCTAATTATGGACTCAAGTTCTTAGCCAAAAGCCAAGAAGAGCAACTTCAAGCTGCATCATTCTTTGTGCAGAATAATTTCTATGTGGATGACGGACTCACCAGTGTTGAGACGGAAGAAGAAGCTATCAAGTTGATACAAGATGCACAGATTCTGTGTGCCAATGGTGGATTGCGTCTACACAAATTTATTTCCAACAACAAGAACGTAATAAATTCTGTTGCTGAATCAGAGAGAGCGGCAGATGTTAAAGACTTAGACCTTTCACATGAACAATTACCTATGGAACAAGCACTTGGTATAAAGTGGAACATTGAAGAGGATGCATTTTGCTTCAAAGCTGTCGACCAGAATGCATCTCCTACTAGGCGCAGTATGCTATCCATTGTAGCATCAATATTCGACCCATTGGGATTTCTCTCCCCTTTCACTCTGACTGGGAAACGGATACTGCAGGAGATGTGTCAAGGTAACATAGGATGGAATGACCCTCTACCCGCAGACAGACTACTTGAATGGGAAGCTTGGATCAAAGATCTACAGAACCTTGATCTCATCAAAGTCCCAAGATGCCTCATACCAAGTGATTTTGGCAAACCGATAACCTTTGAGCTGCATCATTTCTCGGACGCAAGCACAAATGGCTATGGACAGTGTTCTTACCTTAGAGTTGTAAAGGGAACGAAGGTACATTGTGCTTTAGTTATCGCAAAGGCAAGAGTAGCACCTCTAAAGGTTGTAACGATACCTCGCTTGGAATTGACAGCTGCAGTATTGTCAGTGAAGGTCAGTTTATTTCTGAAGAGGGAGCTGAATCTACCTATCAACAGAGAGTACTTTTGGACAGACTCTAAAGTGGTGCTTGGCTACATCAACAACGAGGCTCGCAGGTTCCACGTATTTGTTGCAAACCGTGTACAGATGATAAGAGATGCAACAAAACCTCATCAGTGGCTATACATTGAATCTGCCAGCAACCCAGCCGATCACGCCTCGCGTGGACTGCGTGCATCTGAAGTTAATGATTCTTCATGGTTGACCGGCCCTCCATTACTATGGCAGTCCATCATTGAAAGCAAAGGTGTTGAAACAGAGTTGCAACTTGGAGACCCTGAAGTAAGATCTGCAAGAACTCTATGCACCAAAACAAAGGCTCATTCTAGTATCCTTGACATTCTATCTCGATTCTCATCTTGGACCAAAATGATATCCTTCATTGCCAGAATGCAGAGACTCTCCAATGGTGTCAAGGGAACCTATCCACCAAATCCGAATGAAAGACTTCAAGCAGAACAAACTATCATCAAGCACGTTCAACATGAAACCTTTCAAGATGCTATCAGCGCTCTCGAGAAATCTGAAGGGCTACCAAAGTCTAACTCCCTGAAACCCCTAGAGCCTATTCTACAAGATGGGATACTTCGAGTCGGAGGCCGACTGAGGAAGGCAACCCTGTCTGATGCTTACAAGAACCCAATAATCTTACCCAGAAATGGTCATATCACGCACTTGATTCTTTCACATGCTCACAAGGAAACCTTTCATCAAGGAAGAGGAATTACCCTGAACAAGCTCCGGTCTCTTGGTTATTGGATTGTAGGAGGAAGTAAGACAGTAGCCAGCTACATACGTCAGTGCGTTATATGCAGGAAGTTGAGACGACCGACAGAGACACAGAGAATGGCAGACTTGCCCAAGGAGCGTATGGAACCATCTCCGCCTTTCACATACTGCGGTATGGACTGTTTCGGCCCATTTATTGTGAAACAGGGACGGAAGGAAATAAAACGATATGGGTTACTATTTACCTGCATGTGCTCTCGTGCTATCCACATTGAGATGTTAGATGACATGTCTACAGACGCCTTTATCAATGGTTTGCGCTGTTTTATCGCCATTAGAGGAACCGTGCGACAGTTGCGCTCAGACCAAGGAACCAACTTCATTGGAGCTAAGAATGAGTTCCAGAAAGCACTTAACAAGGAAAGAATATGTTCATTCTTGGCAGAGAAACACTGTGAATTTGTGTTTAACGCGCCCAGTGCTAGTCATACAGGAGGTGTGTGGGAACGTCAAATAAGAACCGTCCGTAACATACTCAACGCCATACTATTACTTTGTCCTGGAAGGCTAGATGATTCCTCGCTGAGAACCGTATTCTATGAAGCGATGTCTATTGTAAACGGTCGCCCACTAACGGTTAGTGAGATAGACAACCCAGACTCACTGGAGCCGCTTACTCCGAACCACATCTTAACTGGGAAGACCACTTCTCCCCTTCCCCCTCCTGGAGAGTTCGTGAAGGAAGACATATATGCCCGTAAACGTTGGAGACGTGTACAGTACCTTATGGAACAATTTTGGTCCCGTTGGAGACATGAGTACTTGGCTCAGATCACCTTACGACAGAAGTGGCATGGAGTTCGTCGGAACATCAAGGAAGGTGACATTGTTCTGGTGAAGGACGTTGACCTGCCACGCAACCAATGGCCTCTCGGTAGAGTTGTCGAAGCCAACCCAGATGATGATGGTCTCGTACGGAGAGTCAAGGTGAAAATGCAATCTGGAGTCCTGGAGAGAACAGTTCACAAGCTTGTGCTACTCATTGCAAATTAATGTAACTGCTATGTTATAGTTGTATGTTGTATTCTAGACGATATGTAGATTGCAAGCTTAACACCTTTATTGATACTTTGAATGTCTAAAATCATGCTGATTTTGGTGGGAGTGTAAATGTCATAATTTTTATTTTACTATAATTTTAATGGAGTCTATTTTATTTGCAATATTTTTTGTAAATCACATATGTGTAACAATGTTTGGTAAAAATTCCGGATAGGCAATCTTCTTATATTTGGGTCCTGCTACTATTTGTATATTACGTAATTTCCGCCCAGCATCTTTGTACATCCTAACGTGAACGAAAGAACGACAAAGGTTAAAACTTGGCGACTTGGTCAGGAGAACAAGGTAATTAGCAATTATGTATGCATCTTATATATGCTCATAGTATTGTTTAACATCCCTGATCTTGTTAGTTAATGTTTCTGATTTAGTATAGATATAACGATTACTCTGTATGTAGAGCATTTTTTGTACAAGCATGGCTAGGGTGGTTTTATACATGGCGCCATTTTGACCCACGTGTAGTGAAATTTTGATTGATAATTATTAGTCCCATGGCAATTTGTATTTTATATATCATATCAATTTAATGATTAAATAGAACTGATTTATTATGTAAATTATCAGTTGTGAGATTATTTGTTGTGCACATGGAATTTTTGTGTCATGATTTACTTAGAGTTATTGCCCTTTGTACGGTAATGTAAGGCAAGGCGCCAAGTTTGTTTACATGTTTTAAGTGAAGTGGCACAGTTGTATTTCCTGATTGTCACTGGTAATATTTTATTGAGATTAAGAAGTGAATTAAATTAAACGTATAGATATTATTCATATTACATATTACTAGTCAATTAGCTGATATTATTGAATATTGAACTCTAGTCTACATGTGTATGTATACCAAAGGGTCATCCTAGTGCATGTTTGTGTACTTTATGTAATTTAGATTTTGTTGTTAATTATTACTGATAAATTTTGTATTTGTTTTACAGTTCTTACGTTGATGTAACCATGAACTAATAAAGACATCACCAGTATATATAGACTGTATCCCTTTTTGACCAAGCCACTAATAACCACCTGGGAGATTAGGGTTAGTTATCGAACATGATAGATTAAGGCTATTCCTCTATCCAACTTAGGGGTCAGCCAGTCGACCTGTCTACCCGTCGACCTGTCAACCCGTCCACCTGTCTTCCGGTCCACCTTTCAGGCCGTCTACCTGTCAACCCGCCGACCCGTCTACCAGTCGACCTGTCCAGCCGTCGACCTGTCTACCCGTCGACCTGTCAACCAGTCGACCTCTCAACCCGTCGACCTGTCTACCCGTCAACCAGTCAACCCGTCGACCTGTCTACCAGTCGACTTGTCAACCCGTCGACCTGTCAACTAGTCGACCCGTCAACCCGTCGACGTGTCAACTGCTGGAAAACTTCTTCTAATTTCCTTTTAATTATCCAACAACGCGCATTAATTCGAATTTGGCGCATGAATCCGATTATAAAGCAAGGCGCATTAATTCAAATTTGGCGTTTGAAAATATTTTTACCGGGACTACTTATCCATATATCCTAGTTGAGCCAGATCTGTCTCCACCCCTGACAGAGATAACGACAGATTGACTGGAGATGACTGTTGTGTCTTTTTTTATTGTTATAGTATTTTATTCCAGGAGACAGCTTGAGAAGCAATGATCCGTCTGGGATGTACTTCAGTACCCCAGACAGAGACAATGACAGGTGGAGTGATAATAACTGTGCTGCTGACTACAGAGGTGACTGGTGGTTTATCCGCTGTAACAGAGCCTTCCTTAACGCTCCGTGGGCCCCTACAGTACGTGGAATACCATTAAAGAGGACGTTAATGATGGTCAAACGTAACTAAGTCAACCTCATTAAATCCTAATGACAAATTCAGTAATAAATGTTTTATTTTAATAGAAAACATATGCTATTATACATGTATATGTGAAGTATTTATTGATTTTTCTTAACAGATGAAAGATCATATATGGTCATATATGGGTTATGCAAACCCTCAAAAGAAGATTTTACATTAATTTTTATCTTTGAGTTCTTTTTTGGAAATATTTAACATCAAGTAACAAATATTTAAACAAATATGTTTTCGGTAAAGGTAGAGGGGATTGAACTATTCTGTAAAGTGATACTAAATGCATTCAGTAAAAGATGTACTTCATGTGTGTTGTAATAAATTTGAAAGTAGAAATATTTCTATTCACAAACACTGATAAATGAAGATGTTTGGACGGATAATAAACCTATTACAGTGGAACCTGTTTTATCCGACACAAGTGTAATACTTTTTTACTGTGATTTCAGCCATTTAATTTTATTTCTCATTTATACTTATGTCAATGATCTTTACACGCTGCAATACTACACCTTCTTTATTCCGTCATATACATTTGTAATCTGTTCCCCGCGCATGTCGGATAACACAAGTTTTATTGTATTAAAGATATTAAGATGCTTATAAAAAAGCATAGGTATATTTATATTTGTTTTGTAGTACAATACATCTAGAATTATGCTTCTCCAAAAACATATCCACATCTTTTTCTATCCATGCAGTATTTTGAATGTATGAGCATTTATTATCCATTAATCTAATAAAAACCGCTTAAATTGAAATTTTTGTTATTTTTTAATATCATGGAGAAAATAAACTAAATAGTTGAAGTGAGATGTACTGAATATTTCTTTCAACAAATCTAATCATACCATAAATATGTTTATTTTGCTTGAATTTTAGGTGTTGCAAGAAACGCAATGATACTAGATCCTCAATGATACTAGATTATGAGAGTATGAAATTATGAAAGTAAAAGAAAAACACATTTTCTGAAGATCAATATCTTTTATTGCTACAGGTACAATGTAATAATTTAAAAAAAGAAAAAGATAGATATTTCCACAATCCACAAAATACGTTATAGCAGACTTATATCGGTATTCTAATTTGTTTTTAATTTCAAAAGGCCAAAACACAGATCGGGGTTGAAAAGGTTAATATGTGTAATATGCGTTTTATTCTGACGTCACAAAGGTTAAATACCGTGCAAGAGCAATGTCATAAACGAAAATCAAAATTTGAATCATTTAGATTTATTGTTATTTAGGTTAGAGATAATTCAAGTACTTTAAAGAAATCAAATTTGCAAAACAAGACAAGGAGTTAGAAAAAAAGAAAATAAGCATTGATTTATTATTTTTGAAAGATGTTATCTTTTATCTGCAACTGTCTCTGCAAATTGAACTTAGCGAGCTAACATTAATCAATATGTTTGCAAATAACTTTGCAATTATGAGACTACATCTTTAAAAAAAGATTCAATGTTTAAGTAATGACACAACTAAACATCGATATGTGCGTTCAAACAATTCATTCTATTTTATGCGATCTGACATTATTGGTTTATATATATCAAAAAAATATATATATACTACGGCTTGGATTTTTGTAGTTATATAAATATTAAAAGTTTGAGGAGCTAAGGATAAAAATTCAAGATGTGTTTGTGAAACATAATGCTCTCGTAATGCAGCTTATGATGAATGTTGTAGGTCAAGAAAAAATTATTCTTCGTACCAAAAGAAAAGTTCCTCACAATGAGCACACCTTCGAGGAACAAAAAACATAAAAGCGGCAACAGATCAATAATTATTACCAAAGCTAGAGATTTTCAAAAGTAGGTCAAACTGGACAAGGTCAAGGAGTCAATAATACTGATGTTAATGATGCCCAAAAGAATTTCACAAAGATTACACAGGCAAAAAATAAATGTCGCGGAATCAGCCATTCGAAACTTCTGACCAACGTTTTTCAAAAGAAGGAAAAGTCTGTGGTCCAAGTAAAATGTCGGTATTCAAGAAAAGCTCTAACAACAAGAAATAAACCGGTAATTATAAAATAGTAAACCCCAAGCACTAAATATCCAGGAGATACGGCAAAAGTTAATTTTTTTGAAAGGTTGGTCAAATCCAGTTAAGTTAAAGGTCAAAGGTCATTGCGGCTGGTACTCAATAGAATGTCTTGTCAAAAATAAGCTATGGGAGTATGATGACACTCGACCTATCTGTTAATAGCTATATATGGCTCAGATTAAAATTTTGAAAATTTCTTTAAATATTAGTCAAACTTTAAGTTCAAAGTAAAAATGTCAAAATGGTCGGTGTAACGCACAATCAGTACTGCCTCTAGAGTCCTTGGTATACAATCATGAGCAATCATACCATGAGGTATCCAACCGTCTGGTATCCTACAGGCGACGCCATTTGAAGCCAAGCGACAAGACTTTGTTTAGGTTCACTAATTTATTTAGTAATTCAGTAAAACCAAAAGGCAGCAGTGATATCTGCAAAGAACAAAGTACAATAATATAAAGTACAGTTATAAAGTATGTTCAAAGAGTATATACTGAATGATGGTTCATGTTATCTTTAATAAACTTAGTAGTTCATCTATATAACTATCAAACTACTTAATACTAAAGTCACATACAAGCGTATATAGTGAGACCTACACTAAATATAACACATTGTACTAATACGTGCTCACAATAAATTGTAAACACTAATATGATTAAACTGGTCAACTTAATATGACACAGATATTGACTTCTATAAAGAAACAACTGCCCTTATACCTAGCTTGGCTCTTATTAAATAATAATATACATAGCCGTTACCAAATAACAGACTTCTACATGTACGTGAATCAGCCAAGAAAAGTAATAGACTTATGCGTCAACATCTTTACCATCAACCTGATATATCATATGTCAGGGTCACAAGTCAAAGTTAACAAAGATAAGTTATTCCCTTATCATTATGAACAGAAATGACATTAAAATGTTTAGAAGTCATTGAACATTTGCTACATCATGAAATCTTATACATACAATCTGTTCTCCATGTTCAATTTACCTTGAATCACTATTAAATGCATACAAATGAAAACAATTAATCGGTAAACAAACAAACAAACAGGAATCACATATCGCCTACTAAAAGTAAAAGTAAAACCTAGACCTAGTTCCGAACTTAGGAATCCGTAATTCCGGAATACTACATACGAATTTCACAAGGTCACGTTTATTACACTAAAGTGAGAAATAAAGTTGAAAAAACCTCATTATTATGCATAAGTATGATCAAGAAGCATATCACATTATTACCTACTTAATAATTCTATAAATTCTATCGATCTGCATGATCTCCTAAACTAGCGCACATGTAGCGTCTGGCGGGAAATAAGTTCACCGAATACACAACTCATGTACAAATCAAGAAATTCTAAGACATGCATAATTATAATGATTTACATAAATCCACACTAGGTAACAATTAGCAAAAATACATAATATGAGGGTCGTTCAATAAGTAATGCAATACTCAGTATATCATAATAGATGTTGAGGCATTTGATTTGATTTTTTCATATTTGAAAAGTTCTATTTAAGATCTACTAAATACAGAAAACCCCACGAATTTTCATTGTGTCTTCGCATAGAAATTCATTTTTAAAGTAAGCATGGTCACTACACTGAGCTGAAAACGGTTTATAAATGATCTCCGCCAAGTAGATGAAAATAAGTGCGTATTTAAAAACTGCGCTTTTTACATAAATTGCCGCAAACCTCATATTTCAGATAAAATTTTTATAAGTTTAAAAAATAATCTTTAAGGCTGTATACTTTTCAGATAGATTCAATAATTCAGAAGAAAAAAATAATGGTTCAAATATAACAGTCAATATGGTCAATTGAAATGTGTTGGGACATCACGAAATATCGACTTTATGTGCCACATGTAATTTGAAAATGCTATATTTACATGGAAAGACATTGTTAAAATACTTGACATTAAATCGTCACAGCATTTTGTAGAATTCAGACAAAGGAACAACATATAACAATATTTCAATCAGACAGATGCCCTCTAAGAGAGAACATTCGTTAAATGTGCATACGGTGTACTTAAAAACACATTTTTAAACAAAATTGAAGAATTGATAAACTTGCTTAATGTATGACGAAACATTGGTGATCTTATTATAGTCGTAAAATATGATTAATGATAAAAAATGAGGAATCTAAGAAAAGGGTGTCATTTAATTAGGATAAAGAGAAGTAATGGCTGCAAACATGTTTTATTAGTTTTCATGTATCTAAAGTAGTCCATTAAAACATGAACATGCATCCAAATGCAGGACTAGTAATAGTTAGTTTTATCTTCAAATCGCATAAAGGAAAGTTGAACAGATTTTTTGCAAAGGAAGTCTAAAATTCGGTGACAATGGTATTTTTCCTGTGCTTCACAATGCAGCTGGATATACTCTTACAGAAAAAATAAAATTTTGAAGAAAAGAAAGTATACAAGACTTTTCAATGAACCATATTAGTTTAATCGCAGCCACTGTGAGATCTTTTCGTCCCCAAAACACATGAAAACAATCAAAGGAAGATTGTACAATGTTAGATATGTCATGGGAAATGATATTCCTCAGTGTCTTTGGGGCACCCCTAAAGATGAGTATGCTGAGGATTTCTGTTCATGGATTTAAAGACTTGAGACACATGTAACTGGTAACAGGGAATGCCTTTAGGGATTGAAATTATTAAGAATATGTATTACGTACTTTTCGTACTTTTAGATGACATGTTGCATTATTTATTGAACGACCCTCGTACACACCTGGATACTGTAGTATATCAAAAATACAAAATGCTAAGGTCTGCGGTTCACTTCGAGATGTAGATCTGGCTGCAGCGTGACGAGTAATGACGTCAGCCTCAGCTCCAAAACATAATAAAAATTACGTTCTGATAAAATTGGAAATATTATATTTGCACTTGTCTA